TAGCCAGAGTTAAACCACGACATAGGCATAAGATATGCTTATACATGCACGCTTATACATGTAGTTCTATCTTATTCTATAATAATTTATTTGTCTTCAGGTTCCTTAAACATTCATTTCTCATCAGGTTCATCATCCTCAGTGATAACTCTTCATGGAGATTTTAATCTAGTAACTGCAGAGATATGGAAAGGAGAAGCATCAAATCTATATTATACATCTTATTTTGAATTTGAGTCTCTTATTTACCATCTCAGAGAGCTATAATTCTGCCAAGGGGTGTTAACACCTACTGATTCAAGTATGGGTGTATCACTCGTAATTTCACATCAGAGTAAGGGTGACTGGTGGATGTCATGACATATTGCAGAGTCTAGCTACAACTCCCTTTTGACCTGCTTGTCCAGATTTCTTTTCCATAGATGAGGAATGGTTGGTCTGTTGTAGTGAAGGGGTAATGCCGGATGGCTAACCTGAGAGTGCAGTTTGACACCTGATTTTAGTTGTTCTTAATATCTGTAGCCAGTGGTATTTACTCTGTGAACTGTGAAGAGCGGCAGGGCTCAGAGAAAGGTAACGCCGCCTATTCCGGACAATATTCAGGATCCATGTAGAATAGGTGTTTTCCACCTAGAGGTTAGAAACGATGGCTGTCGTTGAGTTTGAGATTTGACTTAACCGTGTGCAGTTCTCATCATTACAGCAAAAGCAAATATTCTAGACGTAATAAATGAATTTGGGCAATTTATTATTTTTTTAGTAAAATCTCTGAGATCTCTGTGGGTAATTTTGCAGCTGTTTAGAGAAACTGGTTTTGCTGCAATTTCTGGTTAAAGAAATAAAATACTACTACTTTAGTTTAATAAGGAAAAAGGGTTAGAAACCAAAACCCAGATAGATGTATGAATGCTGATGTTGCTTCAGCTGCTTTCAATAGTTTCCTTCATTTCTCATCGTTCAAACTAGGTAATTTTGGCACAGTGGGGATGTCATAGTCCTATTTTCAGGTTGCAGAATTAGCCACATAGCATACCATGAAAGCACTGGGGAAAAAATATCCTGTATGATCTGGCACAGGGAAAGGACTTTTCTGGAAATTAGTCCCATGTTCACAGAATCCAAGCTACCCTTTAGTGTCCCTGTTTTGAGTAACCACACATGTGGCTACTGACATGTGCTCAGGTATCCCAAATCACTTGTGTAATTTGAAGCGGCATTAAGCATCCTTGTGTTCATTGTGCGAGGCCTGGTGCCAAGAATCAGGGAAGAGCTCTGAAGACCTGGGACTTCCTTTCCCATGCTAAACTTGGCAAGGATTGACCTGATTCTAGAGCGGTAGGAAACAAGTACATGTTTAAGGAAAGCTTCTGGCCTTTTAAGGGGAAAAGTACAGTACAAAATTACACTGTAATCGAATCAGTCAGTATAAAATCCCTACATCATTAGTGTGAGTCTTCTTTTATACATCAAAAGTTTAGGAGCAATGCAGTCTCTGGTTGGTATAGAAACATCAGTAGGAAGAGGGAGTATTTAGTGTGAAGAAGCAACCTAAAAAAAAAAAAGCTCATGGGACACTTGTAATACAGACTTCAGTAGTCAGGGGGCAAAGAGATGGGGGATGAGAGAGGCTGGGGATGGATTAGGTCAACTTGAGATATCACTGATGGCAGCATTTCTGTTTCATCTTCGCCTACCTGAAGATTAAATTAAAGATTAAATACCAAAGAGGGACAATTTTAAAATCGAACCTAGCTGCAGCTCAGGCAAAAAGGTCTCAAGACATCATCGTGAGAGACATGCAGAGAGGGCAGACAGGCAGCATGGCCAGATCCTGTTACACAAGTGGGTAACTGCAGGAGTCATTCTCTGTCTGGAAGCTGATCAAATAGTGCCCTGGTAATGGACTGTGTAGGTAATAGAAATGTTACAACAGCCGGGACTTTCCAGGAAATATGTTCTTACAAAATGTTAACCACAGGATCTGGTTTTTCCATGGAAGAATTCCCAGATCTGTGAGAAGCCCCGTAGTCAGATGTTTCCTAAGGTTTTAGTCTTTGAGAGCTAATAATAATAAAGAGGAGTCAGGCTCATTTGGCAGTGTGCTGACTGCCCTCTTGGGATCTCTGCGGGGGGCTCTGAAGTACTGGGGGCTTCAAATGGGGATCTCGGATACCGTGGCAATTTCTGCGTTGGAGCTGGGTGGTTGAATAGATTCAGAAAACACTTAAAACCCAGAGGAAAGATTTTTCAAGTCGGAGAAGCAAGAGCCCAGCTTTGGGGAACACACTGAGTAGTTGCTGGTGATAAAGCCAGTGTGCTACATGTGAGCTATTTTCCTTCTCCATCTGCACAGGCGGATGTGATTACTGAGCCCCCAAATGCTCTTTCCTACCTCATAAAATACACTGACGCAACAAGCGTCAGTGCCTGCAGGGTTGCATGAGTAAGGAGTTGGGATGCACTGGACCAAGTTTGGGACCTGATCCCAGGAAGCCTTGTTAGTGCTGGATGTCAATGCCTGCGTGCTGCCATCCTCCTTTTCCTTCACACCAGCAGCAGATACACCGGCAAGTGCAGCCGGAGCGGTGCATGAGTGGGATTTGTCCGTGGGATCAGCACCCTACCGCATGTTCCTTGATGTAGTCACCTGCGAAAAGGCAGGACAAAACGGTCTCTTAAGGAGTAGTTCCACATAACATTTATGGACAACGTAGGGTTTGAGGGGAGGGGACCCAACATTTTAAAGCATTAACTTGAGTTATGCCCCTTTATGCCAGACCTCAGTTTTCTACTTTTTAGTATACTTTGCTAATGTGGAAGTCAATTTTACTTCAGTTAGAAAAATGCTTCTGTGACAAAATATACTTGTTCCAGATTAACATTAATTCAGTGCTTTGGGATGTGAAAAGCAGTCATCGTTTCAGCAGCTCAGAAACACAGATACTTCTAAAGATACCTTATTGATGTGTAGCTAAGAAAATTCAATGTTTCCAGTGTTATTTTTAAATCATATCTGGTGGCTGGCAAAATCTTTGGGGTGTTTATGGCCCAGTAAAATGTATTGTTTAAGTAGACAGATTATAGGATTTCCCTATGAAATTTTATTTGTCCTGCATTTATTCTGAGCCAGAAGTGGTAGAGCTCAGTGTGGAGCAAAATGTCTCATTTCACTTCCTGACAAATAGCAGCCATGGATTTGCACTTCGATCCCTCTCTAAAAATTTCTGCTGTGTGATTTTAATGTGATAAATTACTGATTTTTGGATACAGGGACTTTATGATCTGCTCTAATGCTTAGTAGATATTAGGTTAGCCGGAAATGTAAAGGAGAACAAAAATTAGGGGACAGAATATTCTGCAGTTGCTTTTAACAAAAATAGCAACTTTTTGTACATTACTATAATAAGTGATATTTGAGAAAGGTGAGCAGAGCTTCTGTGCTTCGCAGTGAAGCAGTAAACCCGGACCTCAGAGGTGGCCAGAAGGTGTCCCATACCAATTAGGCCACAGTAGGATGCCAGCAGTAATGTGGTTTCTCGGGCAACTTGCTACTTCCTGACAATTGCTTTTGGATTTGGAAATTGCCAGGAAATTAGAGAAGAACAGTGATATTCACTGGAAGCTAGATCTGAAGTCGGTAGGAGTGTTTCCACTGACAGAGATGGCTTCAACAGAGAGCCTGGCGTGGTGCCCTGTACCGTGTGTAACTGGGGCACTTAGGGGGTGTGTGTGGGTGACAGACTCACTCTGCAGCCCAAAGCTGATCACTGTCATAGGTCATAGTCATCTGCAACGAGGGAGACTACACAGAACCCTATCACTGATGTAACTGCTGCTTCTTCTGTCCTTTTTTTGTATGTGCAGGACTCTGGAATTGATATTGGGGATGTTTCTGAGAGGAAGGCCCTGAGGAAAAAGCTCCAGTGCAAGACCTTTAGGTGGTATCTTGTCAGCGTGTATCCAGAAATGAGGATGTATTCAGATACTGTCGCCTATGGGGTGGTAAGGATCCTGTTTACATTTCCCATTCTGGAAAGGTGTAATGGTGGAAGTAATGAATGAAGACGATTCCTGGCTCTAAAGCAGAAGAATCAGATAAACTTGAAGTCGCTAGTTAAATAATTTGTTAGACTGGTTAGTTGACAAGGATGGCTGCTCTGCTGTAGCTCGTGCTGAGGTATTCTGAGCATTGTGTTCCTCCCCAGTTTTTTGTTTGTTTTCATGGCTTGCTTTACACCTGGAGATCCTCAAGGCACGATTTCTTAGGTTCATTGTAGCTGTCAGTCGGAAGGTCTGCAGTCAGCATGTGAATTAACAAAATAGGCTCAGTATTTCAACTGCAAGCTTAATACTGTAGGCGGACCTTAATTTAGAGCCTCAAATGCCTGTGTTTTGGGATCATCATCATCATTATTTGTGTGACAGTAGTACCCTTGTTTGTGTTGAAAATCATGTTCGAGTTGTACTCACCTAAAAGCACAGACAGTTCTAGCCCCTAGAAGACTGGTCGTCTAACAGCGAGGGCAGGAAGATGGGCACAGTGAGGTAACACGGGTCCAGAGTGGAGCTAGCATGTCTTCTTCCATCCTCTATCCAGTGTCATACTCACAAAAATAGAGGCTTGTGAATTAAATTTGCCTTTTTCCATGCAAATCCCAATTAGGAAGCATAACCAGTAAGAGCAGATCACAGAAGTAAAAGATTAGGTTTGACACACTGCTCCTCCAAAAGCAGTCTGAGTTGCGCAGTGTGCCAGTATGGCTCGGAGAAGGCTCTCGAGGGTGCCATGGAGCAGCTGCAAAGTGAAGTGATTGTATTCTCCACAAAGTTCCATCACCCCTGTGATGATCAATTCCAGTTACCGTGCTGGCTTTTCATACAGTCCAAAAAGAAAAGAAAACACCTCCAGCAAAGGTTTGGGTCATCATTAAATACACGAGATAATGGTTACCTTCTGAAATAGCTCAGAACAGTGCCAGAACCACACCTGTGGTCAAGGAGCCTCTTCCATAGAGTGTGTGGAACTGCCCTCAGCCATGCACTCACCAGGTGGGGCATGTCCCGAGGAGAAGGAGGCAAAGCAGCTAAGAAGTGCATGTTTCTGCTTGTAGGTACTTCTGGGTAAGAAAACCTTTGATGGCAGGTAGAAGTGATACTAGATGAAAAAAAGACCAGTGGAATAGCTAAGGTACTTAGCGTAGTCCCAGGATTAACTCTGCACTATGTTAGTCGAAATGAAAATCAGCCAACAAGCACCCTGTGATTTTATATTCTGCTGAGACTCTTCAGCCTTCGAAGGTACCTTGCTGGCGATACACAAACCAAAGAGAATCAGAAGAGTTTGTTACAGAAATACTGAACTCTGCTCAGCAGAACGTGCGTATTTAGGTGACGTGGAATAACTCACAGGACGCAGCCTTCTGTTTGCACTATGAGAAGCCTCACCAGCTAATAATGGCCTTATTTCATTAATCTGTCACAAAAAAGGTAGTGGACAGCTATGGCAACCTATCTGTACAGGTAAAGGGGGACAGTTTTCTGAAATACACTGTTTGCTGTTTTGTGAAACAAAAAGATAAAGTGCCCCAATCTTTTCAGTAAAAGAATTTCTTGGATCTCTAGCCTTCCTTCATGTCTGCTTTGCTGTTCGCTTGCATGGCTTATAATGGAGAAAGGTACAATATTTCAAAGAGCAAGTCAGCTGCTTGCTGATTCTACGTGCTTTTATTCATCAGCTGTCACCATTTTTTTGTAGAAAACAGATATATAGCTACTATAGCATTATCATTAATTTAAAAAAAACCCTGAGTAACTACAAAAGCTATCTGAATAGGGTGAGGGTTAGGATACAGGCATCTACATTATCAACACCCATATTTATTTCCTGAATCCTAAATTTCCTCCTGTTCTGCAAGAGTTAGGAAAATAGTTGTATTGTTCATGTCGAGTTGGTGCTGTGGTATATAGCTGGGGTTAGGGCTGGTGGCAGAGTACAGGTTTGGGAACCAAATTTCCTTCTGAATTCTGCATTACCCATGGAGTTAGGAGAAAGCCATGTCGGTGGGCCACACGCTGATGTATGTAGTGTAGGGACTGGCTCCCTGAGCTCAGCTTAATGTTTAATTTTGCAAATTCAGAATCTCAGTAGTCTAGTTTATCTCTCTATTCTGTAAAGCTCTAAGTGTGAAAGGGAGAAAATGGCAGTATTGACTAACTGTTTCCATTTTTCAGCATGAGGTTAGGTGACCTGGTTGTATTTTGTGTTGTAATTAAGATTAAGTCTTGATAGTCTAAAACTGCCTTTCCCAAGTTGGTTGCCACAAAGCCACTAGATTTTGGAAAGGGATGGTTCCAAAAAATCTGGGCCTCAGGTTTTGAAACAGCATTTTTAATTTGCAGGGCAGTAGCTTTTTTGTTTGTCTGTTTTTTTGTGGGTTTTTGGTTGGTTGGTTGGTTTTTTTTGTAGAAATGGTTTATCTACAGATAATTGTAGAGTTGTGGTTGGGATAAGAGTTTGAGAAATTAAATCTGAAGAACTCTTTGTTTGGGGGTTTTTATTTGCTTTGTGGTTTGGTTTTGGTTTTCTTTTCCAGGTTTGTAAGACTGGGACTGGTGTTAAAAAGAATATAGTGTCTCTTTTTCTGTGGTGCCTTATTGCCGGACAGCTGCTGTTAGGGTTAAGGTGATGGGGTTTTTTAGAGCTTGGGACTGTAAAGTTTTGCATTTGTTTTACCGCTGGGTCAGCCCTCTCAGCTAAGTCACACGCTGATGTTCATCAAGGCAAATTTGTTTGCTTCCTTTATTATGGGAATAGTTGTGGAAAAGGTTATGCCATTAGGGCTAAGACAAGCATTACAAGTGTTTGTGGAAGAGGTTCTGGCCAAAGGTAGTGATGGATCCAGGATGGTATTTATCATTGGTTGGGATGCAGAGTGGTGCCTGACATGTGATCATGATTAGAGCAGTTGTTGTGATTACATTTATGAACAAGAAATACAGAGCTTTGACTGAGGAAACTACTTAATTCTCAGGGCTCACAGCTAAGAATGAGGCCAGTATCTACCTATTGACACCTCTTTAATATCGAGATTTATCCTGTCTATTACTGAATTTAGAGTTAAGTTTGGAGTTGGAAATCCTGTAGAGATGAATTCATAGGTTTGATATTATTCACTGCCTGGCTTCAGTCTCCAGCTTGTCCGCACCTCTTACCTACGAGTGCACTTCTGGGCTTCCTTTCTAGCATATCAGTTTGTTTTCCTCAAAGGAGGCCCCTGCACACAGCTGACGGGACTGCTCAGTTCATCACAGATGGTCGCAAACCACATCACCCCTCACTCCCTCCGGCAGCCAGTTCTCTCATGTTCTCTCAACTCACACCACTGAACACTGTTACGCATACCCATACGTATGCGATCCACATCTTCGGCCTCCCAGCTATCTCTGCTCATTAATGTAGCCCTTTCAGAAAACCCTGTCTCAGCCCTGCACAGGTAATACGCAGGGCTGTGTGAGCAGCAGGGCCAAGTGCTCTGCAGTCTGCTCACAGCCCGACTGCTCTGCGTGGGTTAGCCCAGGACGAGGCACAGAGCTAGTGCGTAGCAGTTGGCCAGAAGTTTCCAAGTGTCAGCAGTAAGGATCTTTTTGAATTATTTCCAGAATCAGAAGAATCTCCTGAGTGATTCTGAAAAAATGTTTAATTACAGAGCTTTCTCCTGTGTTTGAGACGCCATCCATATGGCTCAGCTAGCTGTGCTGGTAAAACATTTGTATGTCATGTGTACCAGAGACGCATTAGACTTGTTTTAAAAACATGTATCAAAAACTACTATTGCTCGCTTTCTGATATCTAACGCCCATGAAACCTTGTGCAACATTATTGACATCAGTAGCATTAGGTTATCTACAGGAAATAATTTAGTCTAGGCACTCCCTCTTCACTATCTTCACTGCAATGAGTATTTTTAATTTTGCCTATTTCCTTGCTCAAATATATATGATTTTTTCTTTTTTTAAGGAAAAGAAAGTAATCACACTATCTTTTTCTCATATAAGACTTGGTTGATTCCTTTTCCTTTCTGTTTATTTTAGCTGCAGAATTCCCTGAAAAGTGATTTGTGCCTTGATCAAGGGCCAGACACGGAGAATATCCCAATCATGTATATCTGCCATGGAATGACACCACAGGTTAGTTTGTCTAATGAGCTCTGATACTGCTGCTGCTTTTACACTGTGTAGCAGGAACCGTCTTGTACCTGTCATTGTTTGCCTGCAACAATGCCTCCGTATGCTGTTCAGTAGCTCTTTTATAGAGAGGTAGAACATTATTTCTGCCATAAATTGAGAATCACTGGTATATTAGCACTTTGATAATGAAGTTACTTTATTGATTTTGAAAAAAATTTAAGGAATAGAAGATATGTTCTTAAAAGCTTTCACATCTGATGTTTAACTGTGCATGCCATATGAATGAAACGATGTGTTTTAAAACCTTTTACATATGTAGATCTGCGTGGTCAGAGTTTATTTATACATTATGTGAAGCAGCATCTTTTTTACTTGATATATCTACTGTCTCATTTTCACAAATCTGAAAGGGTCAGCCACCTCCTTCACACCACGCAGCTATGACAAGTTCCAAATCCTGTTATTGTGAAAGCCCTTCTTCTAAAGCTCCTTTTTTTTTCTTTCTCTGCTGTTGTCTTGTAACTCTAGTATGTGCCAAAGAGTCGAATTACCAAAACCTTTCCATTTTCTTAAATAATAAGTGGATTTATTAACTTGGCAAAGAGGAGGGGTAAGACATTGTATCTCCTCAAGTGCATAAGTATATGAGCGTAGGTGAAAGTGTTTCTGGACAAATCTTGACAGCAAAAACAACATTACATGGTCTAGAACATGCTGAAAGACAGGTGTGCCAATTATCTAAATCTGGAAAGTAACATAAGAAAAATGACATCAAGGAAATGGATGTATTTGTGAAAGTGATTGGAGAAACTGAAAAATCCCTCCAGTTTGAATAATTTTTTTCTCTACCTTTTTATATTTGCTTTCTCAAAAGGACCCTATTATGCTCCACTTAAGTTATGGAATGCGGTTTTACCCCTGGAATTGTCAGTTTATGTGATTTGACTATACAGCAAACGAATCCTAATATCTCAGAAATAAACAAAGAGCAACAGGGTAGTTTTGTTCTCTGTACCTGGATCTCAGAGTGAGCTGAAACATGAGTTTGGGAAAAAGCAGCTACGTTTGTGTACTTCTTTGCCAGGTTACACATTCTGCAACTGTGTTCTGTGCTGGTTTCCTTCGCTGAGGGTCTTTAATATTGATCACTAGTGGTATCATGCTTGAGTAAATTATGAATGATGAAGACAAAAATATCTGAAAATCCCATCCATCAGGCTCACTCACTGCATGGGCTGTGGCTTATTTGTCACATAATTATGTGGTAACCACTGTCTGCCTGCAGGAGGTTTTTAAGCTAGTCCTCAGTGTTCGCTACGGAACTGTGTAATTTACCCGTGAGCCAGAGCCATTACTCTTCATCTTCTGAGAGGGCACCATAACTCTCTTCTGGCATATCATCTGTGATAACAGCACACTACAGGCACGGTTGTAAATTCCAATTAGAAATTTTAATTATGGTTAAGAGCCAAACAAAAACAACAAAAAAGTCACTTCAATTAGCACACTTCAGGATTCACCAGATGAAGAACTACCTTTGAATGCCAGCTGAAGTTCTGTATAAATGAGATAGCGGCAAATAAATGACAGAGGGAAAAGAGGCAAGGGAAACTTTTTGTGACAAGATTCTGCTCCTTTCATAATTCCGATGTTGCGTCTCCTTCCCACTACTAGGTATTTAATTTTGTAACTAATAATATTCAGAACAACCCCCAGAAAGGCTCATGTATGAGCAAGAATCCCGGTAATGAGTGAGAACTTTCTTTAAAACAGTAGGCTTTCTCTGTGTTAGGGATTATGGCATTAACAGGGAAGGCACTAACAAACGTTATTCGGCTTGCTCCTACGAGATTTCCATTGCACATGTTGCATCTCTTGCTTAAGCTGCAGCCATTTACATTTCCTCTGGCATACTGGAAACTATTAGAATAAATATTCCTTTTAATCTTAGTGAATTCACCATAACCACAAGAGAGACTGGCGAGATGCTAATTTTATTCTGGTAGTGGCTGAATGCTATAGAAAGGGGGTTATTTTGCCCACCTGGCAGCCCTTACCAAAACAGGTTAGTTGGAAAGATTAGTCCCCTGATTCAGGACTGCTTGTATGACCGAGGGTTTTGGTGATGCCATTCTTGGCTCTGGTGCGAGGCTTTACTGTACCATCTGCAGTCTTAGAGCTGCCGCCACGGACGGCTTCGCACGGTTGTGTCTGGATGTGCCTTAATACATCTGGCTGTCAGGGCCCATTCCCTCACACGCAAGTTGCTGTTCTTAGTTACTGCTACAGCCTCCCTTCCAAATCAGGTTGCTTCCCCTTTTTTCTCCCACTAACCTCTTTCAGATGTTTTTTTAGATTTTCATCTTTTTGCATGGGAAAAGACTTAGATACAAGGTGTTTGACGTCAAATAATAGTTTCAGAATTGTATGTATGGCTACTGTTTAGCATGTTTTACACAAGAAAGAAATCATTGAAGTCAGCAGAAGGGAAGGCTGCGTACCTGACATTAAAAATCCGTGCTCCATTTTTTGCAGACAGTATCAAGAACATCATGCGTAGCTTCATAATTAAAAGCAGTAGAAGATGGCAAGGAAATATCCTCAAACACTGCGATGAAATGATCAGAAATAATTTTCTCTAAGGTTCTTGTTTCATTTTAAACCGACGTCAGAATTCATGGTGGTGAGACTCGTGATTGAGATTCCTCAACCTCTAGCAATCCAATCCCTGTGTCTACTCTAACTAGGAATTAGCATATCCATAGTTCCTTCTTGCAAGTATCTTGGAGTGCTTTATAACTGTGTTTAATTTGTAGTACTGTTCTGCAAATAGAGAAACTGATGCAAGTCTTACGTGTGGTTAAACAGTAGGATGGAATGGAAAATCAGAACACAATCTCTACGTTTCCTTAGTCCTCTGTTAATGAGTGAGAATTTCTCACAGCAGGGTATTTGGCTTGGCCGGAGATGGCACAGGGCACTTGAAGAAAAACTGGAATCTGGGATTAGGTATGTTTTGTGCCTGCCTTTTATCTTCAGAGAGTGCTTCCCAGAGCAGCTCTATTTTGTCCTGGTCCCCAGGAACATGGATATTTCAGGACTTAGGATACCATCCACTGAGTAGAGCAAGTTGCACGTTCAGCCGGTGAAAAAAACAAATCGGGTGGCCATCCTGCAATGTGTTTTCCTGGATTTAAGGAAAGAATTGCTGTTACTTTATCCTTAGTAAGAATCATTTTATTACAAAATGTTGCCATGGTAATTATACTGGTGAGAACTTCTTTGTCTAAGTGGTAGCATCTGAACGGCATAACTTTCTCAGGTGCTCATCCTCCCGATTCTGCTGCTGGAGTGTATTGTTTCCTAAGCATCACATCCTTCCGTTTCTGCCTTTAGTTGCTCTGTCCAAAATGAACACTGTCATTACCACTGCCCTCTGCACAGCAGCGTACCGTATGTTGGCCTAACACCCCAGACTCGGGAGCAGGGGCATCTCTATCACTGCTGAGCATCTGCTACTGCACCTCATGGGTACCACATGAGCAGCTGTGGGATGTGCATGAGGCAGGGACTCAGGGTGGTTTGGGTACCTTTGGTGTGCCCGTGGTCAGCTCTCTGGAAGGGGCTTTTAGTGTAGATCTTAGCCTGTTGTATCAAGCCTCTGCTGCTGTGAGTGCTGCTGCTTCTTAGCTGAACAAAACCCACTTCTGCACCTATCAAAATAGCTCAGATAATAAATGTAACATGGCAAAATGGGTAACTGTTAAAATAGGTTCCTACTACGCTGTTCGGTGGTGGTAGAACTCCTGTTGTTGTAGTGGCTTGAGAACAGCTCAGAGGCAGAGCACAACAGCCCACAGTTGTTCTTGGCCAAAGAGACTACACTGGAGACGACTGGGGGGTGTGGGGAAGCAGCCCCCCTTGGGTGTTGGGAGATGAGGTAGACTGGCAGTAAGGGAGAAAGTGGGAGGAGAGAAATATAAGGGAAAGAAGGGAAAACAGAAGAACAGTAGTGGCAAAAGAGTACAAAACATAAAGTTTGTGTGAGGTTGTGCATTTTTTGCTGTTTTTTTTAATAAGTGGTTCCTGTGGGGGAGGATAAAGGTACTGTTTTAATTCTTGAACTCGCTGAAGCAAAGCTACAGTTAGGTCAGACATTTAGGCCTTAAACGGTCCATTTCCAGCAGCACCCACGTTTTCGGTGGAAAAGATGGTTGCTTGCAGTTGGAGTAAGTACATGCCCCAGGGCTGACGGCATCCTCTTCCTGATCCTGGGAACGGCCTGCGCCTGGCCGTTTGGTGCTGTGCAGGACTGCTGTTTAACCAGGCCTGTGATCCTGAAGGCAGACTGATGGCAGCGTCACCTGCATCAGAACTACTCCTCAGTGATCATTTGCAGGTTTCTTTGCTGAGAACGAAACACCACATTATTAGGGACTTTATAACTATTGTATGATAAACAACTACCATCAGTCAAGGAAGTAATGTTGTAAGTACAGATTCACCTTGAAAAGGGCTTGTGATTGAGAGGATAATGGGCAGTTCTGTGTTCCCCTCTTCAATAGCTTCTGGCTCATATATTTCTCAATTTATAAGCAGTTAAACCACAGAGCACATCCAGGGATGTGACAATCAATACAAACCAGTTAGATTTTGAGGAATTCAAGTGGAGGACCAGGGTCACAAGACTAGATTGGGAGAATTACCAGAAAAGAAATGCAGGTGCGAAGGGACACCCGTTCATATCCTTTCATATTCTTGCAAGAGATTGCAGAAGTGACACTCAGAAACTGATGACTACAGCCCTGCCTGATATGAATTACTGTATCTCAGCTGCAGGCAGTAGAAGGAAGCCATGCCAGCATGTGGAGCTGTGCCAGTTTACACTGTATGAGACTCTGACCTGAAAGCTTGATGTTGCAGTCCACGCACAGTGGGTGAAGTACTGGAAACAGCAGTTACAAGAACTCCCATGAACTCCTAAAAACTCTTTGTGTGAT